GCGAATATTTGGTCTTGGCTGCCTCACGACGACTGTGATGTACTTCACCATAGGCTATGACTGCTTTACGCACACGCTCTTTGGCTATGAGTCGGAGATGCAATATGAGGCGCGTGCGAATCCCGACGCAAGCGTCGTCTTTGGTGAGACAATGCTAGACAATGACCGCGGCTGGAAATCCCCGCTGCGTAATTTAGGGATGCCGCTTCATCCATCCTAAGCGACAGTTTGACGTGTTGCGGGACCCCAAGTCCACATGACTCTGTTTAAGCACGACCAGCCATTGTTGGAGTGTTTAGGTTTCATGCTGGTTGCATCATTACCGTATTGACGATACCGAGAAGGTTTGTAGTGTTTTTTTTTCTTGCGTTTTTTTTTTTTTTTACTACTTGCGCACGCACAACGCACATCCCCCTTGTCCTGTTCTTGTTGTTTGCGCATCTCTTCAGCGGAGAAGAAGCTTTCCATTAGCATAGGGGCGGGAGTTCCCATCATCTGGGCACACCGTGGGGAGAGGGATACGCACGTATACGCCCATTGACAGGGGCGGAAAGAGAGAGAGGCGAGGTTGTCGTCATTGCCTTCCACCACTATGGTTGGGCTCACCGAGGATGAAGTCCGCGGGTCGCCGCTGTGGCAGCACATGAAGAAGGTTCTCCTGCAGGTTCTTCAGCAGCAGCCGAGCAGTGCGCTGGACGCCATCATCCCCTCCTCCTTCGTGGTGCAGACGGGCAGCGCTGTGCCGCCGCACGCCACCACCATCTACGCGGACCACCGCCCACGAGTCTTTAACACCGTCCCGGCCGACGTACTGGAGAATCTGCGTTGGGCCTCCAGCTTTGGCAAGGTGCTCGCGCCACCGAAGCCCAGGCGCAAGCCAACGGAGGATGATGAGGAAGCACCGCCGGAGGATGAGGACGAGGACGAGGAGGTGTTGCCCGCCGAGCTCAGCGACGTGGTGGGAGAGCAGTCCGTCTTTAATTCCGTGGGCGAGGGGCTGCAGCCGGAGGAGGCCTTTCGACTCGTGGTGGGGATGAAGCAGCTCGCTAAGATGGAACCACTGGCGACGGCCCGCTTTTGGGGCAAAATCTTCGGCGCTTGCTCGGACTACTACATTGTGGAGACGAAGATTGACCCGGAGCGGCTGCCAGAGGAGGAGGATGACGACGGCGCCACAGAGGACGAGGAAGAGGAGGGAGTACCCATAGAAACCGTTGCAGATGTCCTCTACTCCTACGGCGTGAAGCGGCGGGTGGACACGGGGATTGAGCCAGCCGGTAGCGGGCTGAACGAGTGGGTGTACTACGCCGCGCTGTCGACGGACCCCACCAGCTGGGTACGGTTGCCGGATGTGACGCCGAATCAGGTCATCGCCGCCCGTCACATTTGTCGCGGCTTTACGGGGGATCTTGAAAGCTCCGTCGAGACACACCCGCACTTCCCCGGGAAGGAGAAAAACTACTTGCGGGCACAAATTGCCCGCATCAGCTGCGCGTGTCGGGTGGCACCACGTGACATGTACACAACCGAGGGGGCGGTTCCAGAGGAGGAGGACGAGGACGGAAACTTGTTGCCGCCGCCGGAGACTGTAAAGGCCTACACGACGCTGCCGCCGCTCAACCCACAGGAGGTGCCAGACGAGGAAGACAGCGAGGCGATCGAGCTTGTCAAGTCATGGTTCTACGGCTACCGCGACGATGAGTTGCTGCAGGGGAAGTATTGGGTACACGTTGCCCCAACACTCTTGAAAACCGGCCGAACTGTTGCGACGGAGTCAGAAGAGCAGCAAGAAGACGTAGAAGTCGACCACTCGGAGATGATCCATCCGTTTTTGTGTGAAGTCAGCCGTGACAATCCCTTGACCTACGCGTCTCACAGCCGTAGTCAACTACCCGCCTGGAGCTTCCGCAAGGCCTTTTTCAATGAAAGTAGCAAAACGTTTACTTACGTTGCCAGGTCGGGCATCTGGCCTGGGGCCTTCACGTACGCCGTGACGGAGTTGGGTGAGCCAGGTAGCCGCTACCAGAGCGTTTACATTGGCACGGGTCTCAAGAGCCTGCAGGGCAGGAACTACGCGCCACGTTTGCCCCCACGGTGCCTGGTGGAGTATCCAGAGACGGAATTGTTTTTGCAGCGCGATGGTACGGCCGATGATGAGCTGGAGTATGCCTCGCCGCCCCCGAAACCGGAAGTTTTCGAGGAGGAGGAAGATGAGGAGGCTTAGAGAAACAGAAGCAAGAAGTGAAATAAAAAAAAAAGAAAAAAAAAGAAGAAGCAACAAAAACACAACAAATGGGGTTTTCTCATTGGCTGAGTAATGGACGCTGTTCTTTACTTGTGATGTTAATAGTTCATTAGAAATGGGGACTCTCCTGTCAATCGTTCTTTTCTTTGTTTTTATTTGTCTATTTCTCTTCTTTTCTCTCTCTTCCGCCTTGTGTTCGTCCCTGCTTGTTCATTGCCTTTTTTTTTTGTTGTTGTTGTTGATGCTTTCACGCAGTGTGGGCGGACCAGCAGTGAGAAGCTCAAAAAAAAAAAAACGGACGAAAAGAATAGATGAGTGGGTGGAGAGAGGGAAGCGGAGGAGCCGCAGCACGTTGGACAGGTATGATGTACGTCTCTTTTTCTATCTCTATTGAGGTGCATATTTTTTGCATGCTTCAATTTCTCGATTCCACGCAAACGGTTGAGGTGACGCGGTCCACTGGCGTTGTGTGCCGGTAGGTGCAACTAGCGTCACATGTGATGCGTGTGGCTCATTCTTGTTGTTGTTGTTATGTGTGTGTCTTCTTTCTTCTTTTGGTACAAGGAGGTGTGTGTGGGGGAAGGCATTTCATCCACGCCCATACGTGTGAACGGAGGCGGGGCTGGCGCAAAGGAGGGCCCCCCGCAGGGACCGCGTGCGTGGCCATTCACATTATTGACTATTTTAGTTTGACGCTTCGTGAGGGGGTGGAAGGTGGCGCAGTAGCAGCGACGACAGTCACCTCCCAACGCAGAAGTAATATCTTTACGCATACCTGCACTCACGCTGTGCAGTCGCGGAAATACGGTGGGGAGTAGACCGAAGAAGGGAACGTACGAGGTGTACCGGGGGAAGTTACGGGGAAACTATCGGGATCAGAGCAGCGTACAAAAAAAAACAAAACGGAGTAAGAACGGAAAAAATAAAGAAGGAGTACATAATAAAACAGCGATGCACGGGACGTGTAACCTTCCGCTTAGCCGCTCACTCCCGCTTGTGTGCATTTGCTCACTATTCAGTTTCCTTTGCGGCGTCGGCATTGGGGCAAATGATTTGAGTGCGAACTTCGCCATGGTGGTGGGGAGTGGATCTTTAAATATGCGACAGGCAGTCGTGTACTGCACGGTGTTTGAGCTGCTCGGTGCTGCTTTTATGGGTGGACGCGTTAGTGGGACAATTCGAAAAGGTATCGTTGACCCTGGTTTCTTTACTGTGAATGAAGACATGGTGCTTATCGGCATGACATGTGCAAGTTTTGCGGCAGCGCTGTGGCTGTACCTTTCCACAGTATTTGGTTTACCCGTGTCCATCACCCACACAGTGGTGGGATCCATCATTGGTTTTGCCATCTTTTCTAGCGGATCCTTTCAATACATACAGATGCGCGGCGTTGTAAAAATTATGGTTTCATGGCTTCTTGCTCCATTGGCGGCGGTCGCAGTTACGGCCGGTGTATTTTACGTTCTCCGCAAGTACGTGTTGAGGGTGAAAGGACGATCCTTTCAGAACGCCCTATGTATACTTCCCTACTGTCTGGGATTTTCCCTTCTTATTGACTTCATGTTTGTTGTGATTGAGCAGCCGCCTGTACTCACCGTGACACTCGCGAGATTTGTGCCCATCACCGTTCAATATCTGATTTTTCTTGCAGTGATTCTTGTGGCCTGCTACGTCGCGTCCTCGCTGCTTTTTTCACGCCTGGCGGAGGAAGCGTGGGAGGTGAACTCGTTTGTGTGGGAGTCGGAGAAGCTGTGCACGGAGGCGGTGACACGGGCGGCGGCCGGCCTCGCGGAGGCAGAAGCTGGTGATGAGCGACTGGAAGCTTGTTCCTTCAGTTTGCCCCAACGTAAGCTGGCGGCTTCCGATACCTATGCAGAGCACCCCGACGGGAAGGTGCCTCTGCCACAGCGGGTTACGGCTCTGCTGCATGACTCAGGTAGCTTTTTTTTGTCGATCGTGGATTCGGATAACGTGGAGTTACTTCCTCGGCAAAGTGTTCGGGCGGCCCCTGTGGGGCGCTGTGCGTCACGTATGGTTTTCCCTTTGAAGGGGGATGAATCGGAGACTTTATCCTTGACGTTCCCTGCCTCCTACGGTACAGTGTTGCATGCGAAAGATACTACGGAGGGGTCACCGCATGTGGTGGACCTGGACGATGGGTTTATGGAGGAAGACTGGGGGATTGACCACCCGATGCAGCCGATAAACTTCCGTGGGCTTCTTCTTAAACCATTTAATCCACGTGCGGAGTACCTCTTCACCGCTCTTCAAGTTGTCGCAGGTAGCATGTCAAGTTTTGTACACGGGGCTGTGGCTGGGGCCAATGCAACGGCCGCCTTTGTTATTCTCTACGACACATTTGCAGTGTCGGAGCTTGAGGAGCAACCACTTGGCAGCAGCTGGGCCGTGCTGCCAGCAATGCTGGGCATTGCCATTGGCATGTTCACGCTGGGGGCACGGCTAATGAAGACAGTCGGAATGGAATTGGTGACGGTGACCCCGGCACGTGGGTGGTGCATTCAGGTTGGCGGCACCCTTGTCACAATGGTCCTCACGGGCATTGGAATTCCAGTCTCCCTGTCGCAGGCTCAGGTGGGCGCGGCAATTGGCTGCGGCCTGTTAGACGCACGCTCAAAGGGTGTGGAGTGGGGTGTCGCTGTGAAGATTGTCTGCGGGTGGGGGGTGACCATCGCGATCAGCGCCGTCACAACAGGCGCCTCTATGTGGCTTCTGGCCTACTTTTACTGTGCCTAGTCAGGGCAAGTGTGACTCTTTGGGTAGCACCCACCCCCTCCCTTTGTGGGCGTGTGCGAGCACGCATAAGTATGTGTGGGGAGGCGTTGGGTGCCACGTTTTGGTAGGTGGGAGGGAGGAGTATGTTGCGCGGCAACTACACTTGCACCTACAGAAAAGAAAAGAAAAAATATAAAAAGGGAGGGATAGGGGAGGAGGTGGATGCGTGAGATGAAAGTGATGAGGAGCACACACCGTGGCAAGGGATAAAAATAAGAGGCTCCATGGAACAGCTCATACTGCGCTCTATGTGCCACACGTGGCGTATAGCGCTGAAAGTAGGAGGTTTCATGGTCCCCTTCTCTTTTTGCTGCGCCTGCGTCGCCGCCTTCGCATCCTTTGCTGCTTCCTCTTTATCTCTGAGCGCCGTTGTGCAAGTGTAGGCTCAAGTTGCGAGAAGGACTAAACCAGAACCAAGACAAGCAAAATAAACACGGTCAGGCATCAAAGACAAGGATACGCACGCTGCCTGGCTGTGGGCTCTTTACGCAGTAGGCGGCTTGTGTTATCTTTACAGTGTTTTCACTGCGCCGCTCGGAGCTTTTAGATGCGATGACCTTGGAGATGACTTTGCTACGCCTATCAGGTGCCTTTGGTCGCCCGGCGAGGAGTGGTGGTGCGGCTGCGGCTGGTGGAGGGCCGCGCACTCAGCTGCCGTTTCTTCGCAAGTTGGTGCAGGACGCGTTGCTTATTCCCAACACACATCAAAGCAGTACGCCGTTCAGGCCGTATCCCCCGCCCAGCTCCGGGGAACAGAAGCAACGGGGGAGCACGGTGCTCTACAAGGACACGCAGTGCATCATCGTCAACGACGCGTACCCAAAGTCACGGCTGCACTGTCTGGTTCTGCCGTTGGACCTTTCCTTACACTCCATCAATGCCTTGCGCATTGAGCATGCACCACTGCTACGCCACTTTATGGATGTCGCGGATCGCTACGTCCAGTTTCACCGGAAAAGCTCCGTGGGGGAAAAGGACACGTT